CAGCACAACGCAAAATTATTGCACTAATTTGTAATCCCTTTGAAGAACAGACCACACTGCTGAGCTTTTAATGGTATTTGCGAAATTTCCAACAGAATGAACATGTACAAGTTCCGGAGGCAGATCATTCCAAACATTAATCCAAATTTTCCTTTCTTATCCTCTCTCTATCGTATCAAAGCTTAAAGTTTCATTTTCATGTCTCTGAGAGTCAAAAACACACAAGCAATTTCCTGTCCGGTTTGTAGAGTTTCCCAAAAATTTTCGCAACTTTTTTTTAGTCGATTTAAATCCAGGTTCGAATATTTGGATTTTCGATGGGTTACGGTATTGGTTCAGTTCCAGCACTCAATAACTTGGCCTGTCAAACGAGTGCAATGAACACGGTAATTGACCAAATTGCCGACGTAAAGCGGCAATCAATTGCATATTTCGCGAAACTTTCTGAAATTCTTGCATTTTCGCTTGCGGACAAACCGATTGCTGAAAGACCGATTTCATGGTGAGCAACTTATTGCGTCTTCGACTAGTGCTAATTTTTGCTGGGTTAGAATACCTTAGTTCATTTGTAAATAAAGTATACTGCGTTTTTTCAGAGTTTCAAGACAAGAATCTATATACTGACATGTTTTTATTTGTCGCATTAAATCCCCTAAATTAAGTGTTTGAGCTTACTTGCTGTAGCTTACTTACTGTAGTTTTCTTAGTAAAGTACAGCATAAAAATTATTATAGCACTACTTGACATGCCACATACTATATGCACACCACACTAGAGCCGACAATCCTTTTAGGTGATGAACCAAAAGCCAGGGCTAAGGCAAACTGATTACCAGTTTATGGGACATTGGTCAAAGCAACAGAAGTTGCCAGTAGTATAATAGGAGAACTACATCGTGGCTTGCAGCTTATTAAAGCATCAAAGTTTACTAAATTTATCCTTCCTTTTTTTCTCACTCCTCTTTTCATTGCCCTTCATTTTTTCCAGACAATCTACATGCTCCCTATCACAAGCCGAAATTGGGCACTGCACTAATGATTCCCATTCCATTTCACGCCGATAACTGCTGTCTGTGTTTGCAGCTTAGGGATGAAACAAGAACAGGCTACCAAACCATAGCAAATGCAGGCTTCCTTATGAACGAGATATAAATGCCACTTCTGGATATTTCCTTTAAATTATCGAAATTCGACTATTAGTTCCTGTTCTCGGTGCTCATGCTATGCTAAATCAACTGATTTGTTAATATGCAGATAATTTACAGCCTTCCTTCCTTCGCCACTCTCCTGGTCACGAATTTTTATAGTTTATATCCATGCAATTCCATATCACTTAAACATGACCTGTGCGTAACGGATCTTTGATTTGATATTTTAAAGTAAAAGGAAAAGTTTCGAGGGCTGAAAATTTTGTTTTGAGGACTGAAGAATTAGTTTTTTTTTGTTGCCCACTCAAAATTTTTTCGAAATACTAGATTTAATCTAATGAGGTGCAGTCAGTGAAGAGCAAAATATTCAGCTGGCTCGTCAAACCATTTTTTGATTAAACAGTTCTTCGCAAGAGCTTATTGAAGCACTTTTTTAGCAAATTTGCGAATTATCTTTGTGGCAATCAAGCACTGCATGCTGTATGTTAAAATTAGCTCGGAGCAAAATGGGACAATGGTGGGGAAAGGCTGCTGCGAAACTTTCGAAAGAGCAGCGCTAGTGCTTGAATTTTTAAAAAATTCAGAGGGCAGGAGTGCAAAGTAATTAGGCCACCGGCTGCTAGTAGTACTTTAAAAGCAGAATTGCCCTTTTACAATGGACTTTGTTCTCAAAAGCTTAGGGAGCGCAAGAAGAGGAACAAAGAGTTTTCGCACTTGATTTCTTTCTTTAGCAAAATGGTACTTTACAGCAGTAAAATGGCGCTTATCCTTTGTTAAAGTAGTGTGATGAACTTTCCGATCCGTTCCCTGTCGATAGCATCGCTTCCCTTGCCCTCCTTTGCGTCATTCTCAGCAGTAATTGAGCATTTATCAGGCAAATTTTTGTTTCCTGGTCAAAACTGCTTCTACTGGATCCAAATTCTCATCTTGCCCTTCTGAAGCTGAAAGCATGAGCGCCAAAATGAAGTGAAAAGTCTCGTAGACGAAGCCTCTTTTTAAAAATGGTCATGGACTGGGAGGAAATCGAGCCATTTTTCTTCGTATCCGAATCCGATGTACTTGACCACTCTTGTAAGCCAGCACCTATACTGTGCACGTATAACACCTTCATGCTATAAAGGACACTTCTTAATAAGTGTCGACTTTTCGCTCGGCATCCATGACAGCAGGTACAAGAATTGCAAGTCATATTTGATAGAATACATGCGGAAGCAGCCTGCGTTTCATCCCTTAGCCTGACAAATATACGGAGATCCAATGTACGACTACGCGAAAGTCCTAGCATGAAAATTACCGGAATTCAGAAAACTAGGAGGTTGAAATTTTGGAAGAATGTTTGCCGTCCAAGGTTTCAAATTCTGCTGTCACGCAGCCCATGTTTCACGTGCCGAGATGGGGCTTTGCAGGCAGATAGGAGGGGGATTTATTGGTATGGCGTTCATACCGACTATGTATTATACGTAAAATTAACTAATTTGTGGGACAAAGGTGAAAGTAGAGTAAAAGAAGAGAATGATTCAGACGAAACAAGTGGAAGCAGAGAAGAAAAGGAGACAGCACTACCTTTAGTCTGGTACTTTTGAAAAAAAAAAAGAATGGGTTCATAATTAAATGCATCATGCCGTTGTCCGCTTCGAACTTCTTGGCAGGTGGTTCGATTTAACTTTTCCAACAGAAGCAATTTTTAACTTTTTTAAATTTTTATAACAAAATCATTGATAGGCTTTTTTGAGTCTTCACCACTGTCAAACTCAGCAAACTTTGATTTCTTCGATGTGTCGGGGTGCGTTGAAGTAAATACTCAGAAACACATATGTGCATTTTGAGGACGACACCGTACATGGATTCGCAAGGTGCAGGACCTACACTGTCGCTCTCGATGCCAATTTTAAATACCATGGAAAACGGCAGTGGTCTGTTGGGAGTCGCAGCAGTTGACATACTTTTCAAGCAGATCGCTAGGATACTTCCCGAAACTGAGCAAATGTATGCATTTATCGTCGATAACAACGGAATTGCCATCTACCACCCATACCTTAAAGTACCGGTATGTCAGTTCTTTTTAGCAGTATTTTATTTTGATTGTGTTTCATCGTCGCTTTTCCTTCGCCATCGGTACAACCAACGAACATTTCGATTCTGCTATGCTCTGAATCCACGATATATTTTTGTATAGTCATCCAAGTCGATTTCCACAAGTTCCCTCTTAACAATAAAACCCCCACCATGTCCACGGTCTACGACTTCTGGCACAAGCTTGTCGGAACGAAGGTCGAATCTGACCCGGAAGCAATACCGCTACTCCGCGCATGGAAGGATAAAATGCAACGCGG